TCTTATAACGGCAATCTTATGAAAGGTTTACATTCTGCCTGTTGGCTTAACTCACTTTATCTGAGCCTGACACTTCACCTCGAGTGTCTGAGGTTAGAGGTCGGGCAGTGAGCGGGACTCTCACAAAGCATGAGCGCAACGGAACTGATCTTCTTATTTCATTGTAGTGAGCAGATGATACCGAGCACTTATAGTTTATGTAAACCCGGTCCCCAAAGTTTCACAGAAGCTTTAACACATGAATGTTCAATATTTTACCTCCTACAGCTTTCATGACATCTTTTTCCCCAGACACTTCCTGTTATGGGGTGACGATGCTCTGTCCCGGTGTCCCAACTGTGCTCCTGTGTTGTCATGTTGTGACACGGGCTTCCCATGAAGACTATAAGCGGCTGTGCTGATTACATTGAGCAGACATGGTCCACTATTGTCACCATCGAGAAACCTGCCCTGAGCAATGCCATGCAGCCTTTGATGTATACAGGGAGTGGCTGCAAAGAGATGCAACAGAACATAAAAAAAAATTGAAAAGAAGTATTTTATTAAACGTCCTTGGAATAGCAGTAAAAACAGGATGGGGTTCCAGTACTTCCCAATACTATTCAAAACTAAAAGATCCTGGGCTTGCATTGGGTACGCATCACTTTTGCCACCATATTGTGTAATATGCGTCAAAGTAAAAATGAATAGTAGTTGATATGCATCAAAGTAATAATCTGACACCAATTTTCTGCTGGTGATGACCGGCGACGTAAATGCAGATTAATAAAAGCATAATCTCCGTGTAGTACCAAATATAAACCATGAATGAGACTGACTTGTTTCATTGTATTCAGCGTCTAAAGGCTGCAGGATAGAAGCGCAGATTATTGTCGGGACCCCGGGAACCGTCATGGATTGGTGCTTCAAGCTGAAGCTTGTGAATGCAGAGAACATATGCGTCTTTGTCCTGGATGAAGCGGATGTCATGATCGGAGTTCAGGGTCATTCTGACCATAGCATGCGTGTGAAGAGGTGGGTGCATGTATACGTTGATCATGCTTCTGACATGCCATGCCCCTGACTTTGCAATGTAACATGGTTTCGTGAAAGGTCATCTCACAATGTTTTATATAAACCTGTCCGGTGCTTGACACTTGTAGAAGTGAAGGTCCCACTGTTAGATCAGCAACCATAAGATGCCTGTTGTTAACATACCTTAGCAAGAACAGCCTACCGATCCTTTCACTAAGCTCCCCCTACCTATCTTAGAGCAGCTCTGTGACTAAAAATGGTGCTATCATTGGTGGGGCAGGGGGCATCAGATGGGTCACCTTGGTTTGAAGGGGGTGGTGATTAACACCAATGTCATTCAGCTCAAGGACTTTAATGCAGAAATCAAGGATTCCACCCAAAGCCCTGGTAATTTTTTTTTAATCCCATACATTATTTGTTTAATTTTTTTCCCTGTGGGGGGAGGGGGGTATTCTTCCAGGGCTGAGCAGCACTTAAATAATAACTTGCTAGCTCCATTCAGTCCTGGAGCACTGAGCCTAGCCTGCATTCTATGTGATATGCTGCGTGTCCGTCAATAAATAGATGCATTTGGAGTGCCGGTGTCCATATCCTTGTTCTTATTTGAGGACGGCTGCCATCCGTGGATCACCGCTGCTCCCATTTATTCTACATGGAGAAAAGCGGATAGGAGTGCCATGGTTTCACGGACTATAGCCTGCGTGATGACGCATCCCCTGCGGGGTGTATAAACGACAAGCTGGGCTCATAGGAAAATGGCAGAATGACATGACAGAGGTTTGCTGATGCTAGACAGAGGAGAAAGCAACTGTGCTGGAGGGGGCGGGTACATGAAGCTTGGCAATATTGGGTCAGCGGTGGGCAAATTAATATTGAATTCAGGATTCAGTCTCTCCAATCCAGGAGTCGGCTCCATTGACAACTATAGAAAACCTCAAACATTGGCTGCCAGATGTAATATTCTAGGAGCATTGTCTACCTGGCTCCTGGGATTTGTCCAGCCCTGTATTATCCTATACCATTCCTGGAGTCACCCTTTAATATAAAAGTGAAACTAGGATCAGAGGAAGGTTTTCTGGCTGGAAAAAGTTATGGCAAGCCGCTCTTGGGGAGCACTTTAGCATATAAACATTTTTTAAAAAGCTGATTTTCTGGTTAAGAAGATTGTAGGGTTCACAATCCAACATCCCTTTAGTATAATTGGTAAGTATTTACGTAGAAATGTATTGCAACATCAAAACATTTCAGTCTGATTGTTTCCCCGACCTATTTTTTTTATATGATCTGTGCTCAATTTTAGGATTAAGTTAGATTTATTGTGATCTGCTTCTCTATATACTGGAACTTGGTGTATAGGGTATGGCCCTTAAGCCCTCATTCACACGAGAAAAGGCCGGCGCGTACAGCTCCGTGCTGTGTGCATGGCTGTATCGGGCAGCTCCCGGGAAGGACAGATGCTGCGTGTGATTAGTATGCAGCCCCTGTCCTGCTCTATGGGACTACGCAGCCATATGCCGCCCTATGCTCACCCCAAGTTGAGGTCCGTACGGGTGTCCCGGCTCGGACGCAGACAGGATCCATCCTGTCAGTGTACGAGTACGGACGTGCAGGGAGGGTGAGCATAGGGCGGCGTACTCCTGTGAAGGAGGCCTAAAGCTAAACTCCTGACAAACCGCTAAATGTGCAAATAAAATTCATATCTGAGAGGTTTTACTTGCAAGGTGTCACTGTCCTTCCAATCCTGCCATGCAGAACAGCTAGTAGGATGGACCCGCTTTTATCTATTAATTAACTGCAAAAGGGATGCAGCGAGTGATGTGCTCTCTGGACAGTGACAGAGCAGCAGACTAATGATGAGTTTGTCCCTCTGCTCATTTCATCTCCTATCAACATGTTCCTTATCAGCACATTTGCATGCAGCACGACCCGTCACGTTCATTGGGGACATGTGTCTGCCTGTAGACAGTAATAGTAAATAAAAGTCATTCACCGGCACACACTTGAAGGGTTTTTAAAGTATTGATATGTTTATTCAATACCAGATGTCACATACTGTCATACGGTGCTAACGTTTCGGGTCCGCACAGGGATCCTTCATCAGAGCGACAGATGTGTGCCGGTGAATGACTTTTATTTACTATTAGTGTTTTGCACGGCGCCATCCGCGTGGTCACCTGGGCACCACATATACCTTGTGGTTTTGAGACCGTGGCAGTTTGAATGGGATTTGGACTTTGTTGCCTGTAGACAGGACATTAATGTTGGCAGATCTAAAAGACCCAAATTTGTGCCGCTCTTAATGTACTTTTTAATGCCAGCAGTTTTAAAACCTTTTATTATGAATATTTTATTTATTGCCCCCCCACCACCAACACAGAGCAATGACACCGAAGTGCCAGATGCTCCTGTTTTCTGCTACGTTTGAGGATACCGTGTGGTGTTTTGCCGAGAGGATTGTGCCAGACCCGAACATCATAAAGCTGAGGAAAGAAGAGATGACACTTGATAATATCCTGCAGTTCTACGATGCCTGTGAGGACCGAGATCAGAAGTTCTCAGCGCTGTGCAACATCTACAGCACATTCACCATTGCTCAAGCAATAATATTTTGCCAGGTATGGCTTTTCTTTACCGCATTCTTGTCTCTTGCACCGCATGGTTCACTTACAAATGGTGTTCGTCTCAGGGTGCACCCAAAAGGGTCTCTTTGGATAGAGCGGGGGAATGGTTTTGTATTTTACTGCCATCTCTGCTTCCATGAAGGACATTCCCCACTTCATTTCATCCTTCCCACTTAGGAGTGAGGGAGAAGGATTTTTGATTAGGTAAGGGCTATAACATCTACGGCAATTTCCAATTTTTTCTCTCTCTGAATTGGTGCTGACACTGTCCTTCCTTCTGGAGGGGGGCTACTTCTGTTCCCATGGGTACTGTGTGTGTTGTAAAGTAGTCACCGCTCCAAGATCCCTCCTGGGATGGACTACAATCTCAATACAAATCAGTAAACTAAACCTGAGATTGTAGTCCATCCCGGGAGTGAGCTTGGAGCGGTGACTACACACAGGGTTCACGCTCCAAGTTCACTCCCGGGATGGACTACAATCTCAGGTTTAGTTTACTGATTTGTATTGAGACTCTAGTCCATCATAGGAGCGAGCTTGGAGCGGTGACAACTTTACACCACACACGGGGACCATGGGGAACAGACGTATCCCCCCTCCAGAAGGAAGGACAGTGTCAGCACCAATTCAGAGATGATTGGAGGATCTACAGCCGAGTGATACACAAATAAGATACATTTTTGTTCAGAGTTAAGGTACTTGAATGTATTTTTAAGGTTTAACTCCTGAGTTTAGTGTCACTTTAAGGAAAGCCCCTTGGAATGGCCTGAAATGCACCACATTGCAGGGTGTACAGATTCGCATCAGTTGCCTGTTTTTACTGGCCTTCTGCCCCCCCCCTCCATGTGAACGATATATATGATGTGCTGGTGTTGAAGTGCTGAGTAGCTGAGGTAGGGCATTGAGGTGCCTCAAGCAGCTCCAACTGGGAGAATTGTTTGGTCTGCCATTCCAGTGGACAGGAAATGGTTATATAAATGTCAATTTTCCATTATACTTTCAGCCTGGGTCAGGAAATAGTCTGCATTGAGATTCATTTGTGTCTCTTAGTTTGTCCTCACTGTTCTGTTCATAAAACAGACCCGCAAGACGGCTAAATGGCTTTCCCATGAAATGCTGAAAGACGGGCACATGGTGGAGCTTCTGAGCGGAGAGCTTACAGTGATAGAGCGAGCCCACATTATCCAGAGATTCCGCGAAGGCAAAGAGAAAGTTCTCATCACCACAAACGTCTGCGCTCGAGGTGAAGTGTTTGTTTTGTGTCAAATGTGCTGATTTGGGATGCCATTGTCTCCCTTCCTTTCAAGTGGCCTGTATATGTGTAAAGGTGGGATTACCAAAATACCGGGGGCTAAGGGTAACACTAGTGTTGCTTCTGAGTGTAGATGGTATGCCGGAAAGTTTCAGCACCACATGGCTCCATCTTGTGAGCCATTTGTGGTCCTTTTTATGAACTTTCTAACCAAGCTGCCAGGGCACAGCTTGGATTGGGAGCAGCAGAGTTACAGCTTGGATTGGGAGCAGCGGCAGCAGAGTTACAGCTTGGATTGGGAGCAGCAGAGTTACAGCTTGGATTGGGAGCAGGGGCAGCAGAGTTAAGCTGGCCATACACTTTACAATTATCTGCAGATGTTCTGTGGTCAGATGGAAAAGGTGCAACAGATTCCTCCATCTACACCGGGGCCATCTGTTGCACTTTTTCCATCTGACCACAGATAATTGTAAGGAGTATGGGCACCTTTTATAGCTTGGATTGGGAGCAGGGGCAGCTGAGTTACTGCTGGGAGGTGGCAGGGGCAGCTGATCTGAGTCTGTGCTGGCGGCAGGGTTAGCTGACCACTGGTTCTGATCAGACACTACCTAGCTTGTGACTGTCTAACGTTTTTGTGCCTTGCTGTACTAATACAAGATATTGCTCCCTTTTTTCATTTTCTTTTTAGGAATTGACGTGGAACAGGTGTCAGTCGTGGTAAATTTTGATCTGCCGTTGAACTTCAATGGCTACATTGATTATGAGACTTACCTTCACCGTATCGGACGCACCGGCAGATTTGGCAAGAAGGGCATCGCCATCACTCTTGTGGAGAAATGCTGCTTGTACATGCTACTCGACATTGAACAACATTTTGGTATGTATATGTGTATGTATGTATGTATGTATATGTGTGTGTGTGTGTGTGTGTGTGTGTGTGTGTGTGTGTGTATAGCTATAGCTTGTGGGTACTTGAACATGTACAGAAAGTGACATTTGGCGGCAAATGTATTCCCAGTCATGGCACTGGAGGGATTGCAGAGCTGTGAATGGTCCTTGTGTTGCATTTTCCCAGCAATGTAGTTATTAACAGCTAATTAGTAAAAACTTACCGCTCATGCTGCCAAATGTCACTCCAGTGCAGAGAAATCCCCAGCTGTGGCTGGCCACTTCTCACAGCAGGGCCTGTTCACATGATATCAGGTGCAGATCTGCAGACTGATGCAGTGCGTTTTGGCCGTGTTTTTGAGGCGTTCCAGTTTTCTTGCTGGAGTGGGGCTGTTAGTATGTTAGCTGCAGTGCGTTTTTGATGCGTTTGCGTTTCCTGACCGGACAAAATGTGACATGCAGTATTTTTTCTGTCGTAAGCTGAACGGACTGCGCACGTGAGAACTGGAGCCCATAAAACACATAGGGATACATTTTGAGTGCAGCAGCGTACGGATCCGGTCAGCACACAAAACGGACGTCGTGTTAACAGGCCCTAAAGCTCCCGTTTCCTGTGGCGCTTATTGGTTCCTCCTGATGATTAGCTCATCAATTATGTCCGGTAGTGACATGGCGGGATAGAGGAACCACTAAGATTGGCGAGGACACAGGAGATCGAGACTTCTGGAAGTGTTGGTTTCAGAAGGCACTTTAGCTGGGGATTTCTCTGCAGTGGTGCGGCGCTTGGTGTCAGGAACACAGTTATTGGTGGGTTTAGTTATGACAGGGTCACTTTAAGAAACCAGGCATAATATATTCCTTGAATATTTTGGGGTCACAGAATTCCCTAACAATTCTGGATCAATCTTTTGTTGGCCCCTTCCAGCAGCATCCTTGGCTGCTAGACCTGGAAGATCCCCCTAGCGCAGTGATGGTTTCACCTTCTGATAGACTCCTTTTCCTCCCCATTCATATAACTAACGGGGTGAGTAGTGTGAATGGCAGGCACAAGGCCGCAAGCGCTTAGGTTGATGGAGGAAGAGGTCATCAGGGAGAATGGAAGAGTGTGCAGTGGGATAAGGAAATCTGCAAACTGTTTGATAGCGGGGGTTTGCTTATATGTGAGCAAGCTAGTTCACTAGTCAGTCATCGCTCCTGAACTAACATGCCAGCAGCTTTGATTACACTTCTACAGGAGTATCTACTGTATACTTTTAATTAACCACCTCTGGGCCGGCCGTAGTAAAAAAAAAAACGGCCGGCCCAGAGCTCTCTAGATCTGAGCGGGCTTCTTTAGACGTCCGCTGAGACACGCCCCCCCCGCGTGAGCGGGAAATGACCGCAATTTAAAAACAGGCAGCGGTGCCTGTTAACATACAAGCGATCCGCCGGTGGATCGCTTGTATTTTGCAACGATCGGTGCGTGCCCCCCCCCCCTCCGCCATTGTCCCGCTGATCCCGGTGCAAGCCCAGGATCAGCAGGTCACCTGTGTCACAGGGGATCAGAGGGAGCTCGGTACACGATCCCCCTCCGCTATCAGAATGCGGAAGTGATGTATAATGTGTCACTGTCTTGTGTCACTCTCCAGCTTCAGAAGCTGATGGAGCAGATCTGTGCTTCATCAGCTTCTTTGGAGGTCCGTAGGTGACATTAGGGGTCTCGGAGACCCCTGATGTCTCCATAAAGAGGACCTATCACATAGGGGGGTTTTTATTAGCCCCCGTATGTGATAGCAATAAAGTTTTTAGTGAAAAAAAATGAAAGTCCCCCTCCCAAAAAAATTTTAAGCTACACATAAAAAAGAATTACAAAAATAAATAAATGTAAAAGTCCCCACCCATACATAAAAGACGATTGCGCCCATTACGCCGCGAACGTCGCAGTGAGAGCAATAATTCTTGGGCCATCAATCACTGATAACACTAAACTGATGAGCGGTAAAAGCTTTTAAAGCGTCGCCTAGGGCCAATTTTGGGTATGGTAGTTTTCTGCGATATCGCAGGTGCGCGCAATGTTAAAGCTTGACATGTCTATTTAACGGACGTGACCCCGACTTTTATATTTTACCAAAAAACTGGGTAATAAGTGTTTCCTAACAATGTAAAAAAAAAACTTTTTTTTTTTTCAAAAATTCAGTAATTTTTCCTAATTATAGTAAAAAAAACCCCCCCCCCCCCCCAGTGGTGATTAACCACCAAAATAAAGCTCTCTCTCCCCAAAAAATGGTATAAAATTCATTTCAGTACAGCGTTGCATGACGGAATAAACGTCAAAGTATGAATACCAGGAAGGGGGTCTAAACACCTGGTCTTCAAGCGGTTAACAACTGTGCTCCAGACCTGCAGCAAGACACGGTCCATCAGAGTCCTAGAGCAGGGGTAGGGAACCTCTGGCTCTTGTGAAACTACAAATCTCATGACATTGCAAAATTGTCAGAGGCATGACTCCTGGAGACAGATGCATCATGGGCTTTGTAGTTTCACCACAGCTGGAGGGCCAGTGGTTCCCCATCCCTGTTCTAGCTGAATAAAAAAAAAAAAAGTGTGACTTATTTACTACATTTTATCATTTCAGGGACAAAGATCAAGAGAATCAACACTGGAAATGTGGATGAGCTTGGAAAGGCCCTGCCATTGGGGAATCTGTGAAAAATAAGAACATCAGTAATAAATAATAAAACATTTGCACTTATCAAGTTTGTAACTTTTTATATTTGTTGACACGAGGCGAGCGGTACGAAGACTTGTCTGTTTTCCTGCACCTGTCAGTCTTGGAGCCGCACGAGGGAGAATTTGTATCCCTGACTCTGATGGATGAGGCTTGCTGGGTTTGTAATGCCCATTATTGCACTAAGCGCACTGTTTTTTGATGTTTACAGTTTGAATGTTTTACTTTGTCAGATGTTATTATTATAGGTTTGTGAATGTTCATTTTGTTACCCTGTTCTCACTTTGTTATTTTTCCCTTTGGTCTGTATTACAATGCACAATACAGACCTGAAATGTAAGTGTTTGCAATGCCACGAGCAATATATATATATGTCACATTTTATGTTTAGAAGTTGCACTTTGGTGTCTTTTCACTGAATATTTCTGATTTGTAGAAGAAATGCACATTGATTTTTTTTTTTCCCAGCAAATTCTTGGTTGCAGTATTAAAGTTGAGGAGTTTGAAGAATGTCACAAGGTTCAGAATCAACAGCTTTTAAGGAAAGCCCCTTTTAGGCTATGAGGTTCAGGTTTTTTTGGGGGAGTCTTCACAGCGTGTCAAAGTCTAGTAGAGTCAAACCCCCCCCCCTTTTGGTTTCTTATTTAGGCTTATGTGACAGAAGGAGAGAGGTTATCACAGCCTGGGTGGGTCTTAAATATTCCAATCACCCTGCAAATTAAAGACACTGTCACCGTGGCCATGTAAGCCCTATGTATTCCTTTACCAGCGATCCCTCAGCACCTTGCATTAGAATGAGCAGTGACATCACTCCCCCAGTCATGTGACAATTCTCAGACATGACTGACCGCTGTCAGAGAAGGTGACCTATTCCTCCATAGCTGGGAGTGTTGGGTCTGGGGCGAGTATTAGGGAGTTGGCCTTTTCTGTTACTTTGCCCTAAAATAAGCAAGGTGACTGTCCCTTTAAGTAAGAATTTAGTCCTTTCTGTAATGGACTACTAAGGTTAATAAGTTAGCAGGGAGCAGCCATTTTGTTAGGTGGCCAGGCTTTCTGGACCATGCAGGCTATATGAATTCTTTGGGTACTGCTTTTACCACAATGGCACTGATTTACTAAAGCATTTCCATAAACAATTCTCAATAAGCTGTGTGGAAGTTAACTTCAATTATCTAATCATGTGAAAAGAACCCCCCCCCCCCTCATCTGCACATGGTTGGATAGCTGAAATGATTCTTCACACAAGTTATTGTGCAAATCTACTCAAATCCTTTAGTAAATCAGCCTCTGTGGGGGTTTTTTTTCTTTTCCCTCGTGCAGCCGCAATGTTGATCCCTGATGGCCTAAAGGAAACACAAGTGTTGGCTCGGCTGTGTTTTAAGCCAACCTCTTCATTTAATTTGTATGGAAAGCCTGACTTTTATATTATGTTTGTAATTATGAAAGGTTTTAAGTGTTCAGTTTGATCTTTTAATGATCGGGATTCATTTTGCTCGTTAGGTCCTATTGATCAAAAGCAAGCCATTAAGTTTTGTTTTCTTTATACTAGAAAAGGTTGCTGTAGGCCAACAGATGAGCTGCCTTCCATCAGACTTTAAAGGCAGCCTGGTATAGAAGAAAGGTTTCTGTAAGTGGAAGTTCATTGTGTCACAGGGGATCAGAGGGAGCTCGGTACACGATCCCCCTCCGCTATCAGAATGCGGAAGTGATGTATAATACATCACTTCCGCATTCTTGTGTCACTCTCCAGCTTCAGAAGCTGATGGAGCAGATTTGTGCTTCATCAGCTTCTTTGGAGGTCCGTAGGTGATATGGTTTATAATTAAACATGGCTTCCCATTTCCTTGTAGTGTGTGGATTTATTTATATCAAAGCTGGATTGTTGGTAATGCATGCATATGATACATGTATCTCTGTATTGTCAGACACTAGGACTTTATTGTGAAAATTCTATGCCTGCCTCCTGCAGCCCTGGTATGTGCACCTTCACTTAGAATAAACGTATACAAATGAAATAGCTGGACTTTCAGCACAGCATTTCTACGGAGGTCCTAAAACATAACCTGTGCTTCTGGACCCAATATCCCCTTCTTAAAAGGAGAACTGAGGTGAGTGCTTTTCACTCCCCTCATAGTTCTAGCCGACATGTGACAATGAGACTGTCACAGGTCGGCTCAGTAGATCGGGAGGTGAGCGAACACATACCGGCATTCGCTCACCTCTCGATCCCGTCACGGCTCTCTGCCGTGACAGGGGAGGGGCTGGATTTCCCCCGCCAGCGCTGACTGGTGGATCAGATGGGGGCGGGTACAGCTGGCTCTGCCTCTACATAGGCGGATCCAGACATAATTGTCGGGATCCGCTTTAGCTGCGGCGTCTCAGTATACCGCGAGCAGTAGCTGAGCCTAGGGTGACAGGAGGACGCTGGTTTGTGTCCTCCCGTTACCCTAAGGAGAACTATGTGGAAAAGCCCT